ATGAGGGCACGAGATACATTGTGCGTGCCCGAGATGGAAGGCTGACAGACGAGGGCGGCAAGGTCGTGCTTTTTACAATACTACAGCTTCCACAGATGACATTTTTTAATGGATTTTTTGTCAAAGCACTTCAGATATTCATTGCTATCGGGATGTTAAGAGCATTCCATGGAATATAACTAAAAGTGTATCTCGAGCCGGTTTCTCAAACTTACCTACCCCACCTTAAGGTCTGTGGTTAACAAACGCTTAAGATTTTCACGTTTTGTTCCACGACATGAACTAGGTCAGTAAATACCTCAATGGTGAAAATCTCAAGCTTCAATGTGTCTTAGAATTGGCGTTTGCTAACCAGTGGCTAAATGAGACTACTAAATGCTACACATTAGCCACCTTTAGCTTAGTGGTGGTGACGTGAAGCCATGTGACCAAGATGTAGTTTGTCTAAAGCCTAACGTGGGCTTTTAACTTTAAAAAACATAAAAATGACTCTGAATTCTGGGGAGAAGAGAGCCCGACGAATGTGATACAGTTGTGTGTATGTGCACGTATACTGTGTGTCGTTATAAAAAGTGATAAATGGGGGGCCGGTTGGCTTTAATGAGTCGTTGGACCAGCTCTACCTCGCCTGCATCCTCTGGCAAACACAATTAGTCACATTGATGAAGTGAGCAGCCGAACAATGGGCGAGACCCCGCTGGAGTCACCTCTGAGGGCAAGTCTCCTCCTCTAGGAGACATGATGGAGAGGCTACAAACAGGAAGCTGGGCACAAGATATTAATTGATCTCAAATATTTGCACTGTTAGGAGAAGGAAAGGGAAGATAAAGGAGACTAGATTCACAACATGCGCATGGTGTTGGTTTTTTAAAGTGGAATTGGATCATTACAAGCTAATAACACACATTTTAATTTGTGTTACTTTAGTTCAGGTTTAATCAGATTAATGTTCTAAAAGTAATAAAAGGGAAAATACGTTATGCTAATATATGGCCTTGGTGAAAAAGTATTTTAAAAGGTAGTTTTTCATTATTATTACTCGTGCATTAGTGTAAATAAACGATTGTTCAGTAGTTGAGGACGAGCTCAGTTTTGAATAATAACCGCAAAATGAATTAATGTCATTTTCGCCATTAATATATTGATTGATTGCTTGGTTTGTAAAAACTAGTACAAATGTGTTTTTAAACATTTTTGCTTAAATCATAAAATATTATTGCATGAAAAATAA